GACCACTTGCAGCCCAGAGGCTGAATTAAGGGAGCAGCGCAAGGTTGAGAACAGACGTCAGCATATCAGGCGCCTCTGGCAGCCGCTTCAGTCTATCGATCTCACCTTCCCACCCATCCTACCACAGGGGAGGACATCCATCACACAGTAATCTCGTGTGTGGGAAATTAACGTCTCCTACCCCAACCCTGCAGGAGACAGGACCTCCATTTATTCGTCCCTATCCGAGAAGGCTAGAATATCTAACCATTTCGTGATGTTATAGAAAGGTAGCAAATTCTTCTCAATTATTTTAAGACCTTGAGTGTTGGTCCGGCCGGGGATCGAACCCTCGACCTCCCACACAACAGTCCAGCGCTCTATCCACTGAGCTATCCAGGAGGCGGTACATGACTAATAAAGACAATTAAGTTTCTTTTGTGTCCATCCTAGTACTTTGCCATGTCTGACTGGTATATTTCTTAAGATTATCATTGCTCTTTGACTTACGTGGCAATTCCTACCATTACTGTGCAAAAATGCTGTATAATTAAAATCTTAAGTGCCACTGCCACTAAGAGCAGTCCTCTCGCCTTCCTGTCCTAAAAAAATTTTCCTTAATTTTTTTCCTATGAAAAGGGTTTAGGACACATGTTTCAAAAATACAGTGTTTGTTTTCCAATTCTCTTTTTCTGCATAGCCACAAGCGAAAATTGACTTTTGGCTAGACCACCCGTGTAGACAACGATCGAAAGTGTAAATTTCACAGCTGTTGTCGAGTGTGCTGCTACTGTAATAGTGTAGTTCACGGAATTCTCTCTTGCCCCGAGTTGTAAGCTATAATCAGTCAGTTCACAGACAAAATATGGAAACTTCAATTGAAATCCTACTCATACTAGCATTATCAGAAGAGACCCTTCCCTCCAACCTTAATTTGCATATAAAAATTAACCAATTTAAAAGAAGGAATTCTCAAAATGCAGGCGTAAATCGGACTAAAAAACATATCGGAGGATAGTTTATACACCAATGAGGTTATCGATTGCTTCAAACCTGCGGGTATCTCTCTAGCTTTCATCCACCATCATCTTGAAAACAACATAAATCAATGTCTTTACTTAATGACACACGTGTCAAAGCTAATTTGCATAATTCTGGAAAATGACCAAGTTATATCTTTGATTGTTCAAACTTCTTTTTTATTAACTTGCATGTAAAGTATTTTAGGTTTTCATAACAATTGGATAGAAAATAAATCGCGAGTTGTCCTAAAACGTAGCATAAGCATGATACATCATACGCTTGCATGACTTATAAAGTAAACAAAGGCGATCAGAAGGCGCTTCCTCGATAATTTTCCTTGGATCAGGTCTAGAGCCATGTACAGAGTGGAGAAGATTAATATTAAGGAATCCAATTTGGCATTCTGGTCATTGCAGACATACTGTGCTACTTAAAAGGACACACAAGTTAAAATACATGTACATTATGGTGTTATTTACAAAACAACCTTCTGCAAAAATTCTTGCAGTTTCTACCGAGGTTTAGCACACGGAATGCAATCAACAGGCTCTCCTTTCTGAACATTTGCTGCCATCACTAGAGATTTTATGTTGTTACAGTCCTCAAAGTGCTTGCGTGACAAACTTAAGCTTTTCTTGCGACTATCAAATCCAGCCAGGCAAATATTGCGTTGCGTGATTATACTAATTAATTGACATGTCATGTGACGCTAATGTTGGTAACAAAATACACGTCCGGTAATAAATAAGTATAAAGTCGAGGAATATGAGTATAAAAATAATTTAGTAAATGGTACTCCAGATTGTCCGAACGTAAGCGTGACATACCTCACAGCTTGGAGGTAATTTGTTGACGATGAGGATATCCCAGCCAAGAATAATGTCGAAACGTTGGCAATCCCCCTCCTACATTTCCCTTGTCTCCATATTTTTGTCTTGAAATGTATGATGGATTTCGCGATGAAATCAGTCGAAGCTAGGGACCAGTCATTATTTATAATCTGGGAGGGGTGCAGGGGGGAATTGGAGGATTTTGGTAGTATTACAATATAGATTCCACCTAAACCCGCCCTGGGGCTTTAGCATGCGGAATGTTTGCTTTCAACCGGTTCCTTTATTATTCATTTCGTCTTTGGACAGTGTTTCTTCGTCAAGTGCAGTTTTGCAGTAATCATAACAATGTAAGTATTGTCGTTTCAAGTTGGCTCAGTGTATTTCTTTCCTATCACCTTCACCTATTTAGGTTTCAACCCACATTGTTCACTGTCAGTAAATCGCCTTTTTTTATCAGTAATTATGGTGTTGAGAAGTTACAATTACCGCAGTCACACCCACTCCACAATGGCAAGTTAATTTTTGTTAGTCCCCCTTTAAATTCTGTTGGCGACAACTTATCCCCACTTCTTTTCCCCTAAAAACCATGTGATCCCCCCAAAATCCTCGGCTCCTGGTGATAAATAGTGACAGGTCCCTTAGCTTCTGTTTCCACTAACTATCCCCACTGCGAAAGTAACTTATCTCTGTATATAAAATACCTGAAAACTAGTTAATGTAACAATCGAAAGTTATGAAATGGAATCAAGCACAGAGTTAGAGATAGTCTTCCTAAATTTCTTGGAAACAATGGGAATTCATTACTATGTCACTCAGTCTTGAGTAAGGTGACCCTCAAATTTCTGCCTTTGAAAGAAATGTCCACAAAAGCACACATTTTCCTCAGCGTGGTGACTTTAAACTTCCCTAAAGTGTCATTTGTAACATGTTTGCAAATATTGTGCTCATCATATAATACTGGATGAGCAAGTCTGATTTCGGAAATAACATCCGCTACATCCTTTTACCTTGCTTCGTGTTCAAGGTAACCGCTTTCATCTTCGATGAGGCTTTTGTTGTCATCGTTGTTTGCTTCCTGCTCTGGATCTTTCGGGACTGTGGCTTTTCTTCGTCTCAAAGCAGAAAGCCTCATGAAGAAGCTTTGAACCTGGCTCTTCGTTAGCCATTCATTTCTGGCGATTTGTTTAGATGGTAGTACTTCAAATGACTTGATACATCGTCCTGGCATTCCAGGAGAGATATCGGGGCTGAAACTTAAATACCTGCAACCACTACAATTCTTGCTTTCCATGAAGACATTTTTATGCAATAAATTTCTCAAAACATAAAAATAACTGAAGAACCTCTCCTCTCTGCTAAACAAACACGTGGGTAACAGACTTAGTTAAAGCGAGGGAGCTGGATCGAGGCATGTCAGAACCTTCACCCCCTCAAAAATATCGAACAGCAGGGGAGGGTAGACCAATGTAAGCTCAAATACCATCCCCAATTCCTTTACCTCAGTCCATTTATAACTTTCGGTTCTAATTCGTCACATCAACTACTTTTTAAGACACTATTTACATACCTGCGAACCAATGCAAGTCATGAAACAAATGGACTAGTTACCATAATCACGTCAAGCAATATATCAGGCCGGGTTTCGTTACAGGGAAAGATTAAGCTTGTCCCTAAAGAACTTTTTGGATTATAACGTCACAAAATCTCTAGTGATGGCAGCAAATGTTCAGCAAATAGGGCCACTTGACTGCATTCCGTG